TGTACACATACAAAGGCATAGATGTTGCGTTAAAATTATCTCACACATCCTTTTATACATTCATATTTATGTATATGTATGCACGCCATTTGAGTTGGTAAAGTGAAAGCAGTTTTTAGTTTTGTACGTGAGCCAACGACACATCACCTTGACCATCGTCATTGTTAGAATAACGGCATTGTGTACAGTAGGCAAGGACGATATGGTGAATTCTGTTACCTTAAATACACATGTTTCTCGTTTACCAAGTGAATGCAGTTTTGTTGAACATTTAGGCCATTATTTTTACTCTACAAATGTATTTTCAGCTCACATTTTTATGTTAATGTTACAGTTATCAAGTTTGACATAAAATTAAAAAAAAAAATAATATAAATCGGATTTTTTATTGAATTTCCTTTCTTTAAATTATCTAAGATTATAAATGGGTTTATTTTAACTTGTAAAGTTATTATGGTTACGTATACGCCCCATTTGTATCAGCATTCATTCCATTCCGAAGTTTTTATACCTTTCAAGCCCGTATTAAATTTGTAAAATTTCATTCTAGTATTGAATATCAATTACAATATTTGAAATATTTTTCCGATTACGATGATTTTCGTTGTCAATGTTTAATTCTACAGGGTTACCCGTTTTATGGTTTCGTAAAATATCCGTAAATAAAATGCACTTCAAATAATTTTTTTTCATGAAATTTCTTTTTTATTATAAAGTTTGAACCGCATCTCGAACTTTTGCAAACTTCACACCGTTTGAAGAAATTTTCACTCAATTTTTGGCACATATTAGGCAGTTACTCAGCAATAACTTGACGAATGTTGGTTTTCAACATTCGCGTAGCTCCACAAAAAAAGTGCAATGGTGACAAAACGCATGATCTCGTTGGCCAATTGACATCGCCAAGACGAAAGATTACGTGAGATTTCTGTCGCAATAAAGCCATATTAGCTCGTGTTGTGCGGCGTGTCTTGTTCAAGCCACATATTTTCTAAGTCGTGCTCTTCAATTATGGGCAAAAAAAGTCAATCGCGCTTCTGGATCAAAGAGTGCTCCAGGTACTAATTTTTTTTGGTGGAATGATTTCCCTACGATTATTTTAGGATTATCGGAGCCACATATGCAACATATTTGCTTATTTACGAATCCTCCAAGGAATAGCAACCCTTGTGCAGGATGAGGTAACCAACCCGTGTGGAGCCTTGGGTCACGGCTAATGAGAGAAGAAGCTTCAGTGGAGCCACTCCAGCTTATTCGGCTTAAGGATCTGCTGATGTTAATTGCAGCGTATGTTCACCAGAAGTGCGGCTACGAGCAGGCGTCGGTCTTGAAGCAAGCGGCTCGCCACGTAGAAACCAGCACAATCCGTATCAAATCGAAATTTTTCACCATATCGCCCACGCCCCGACGGAAGAGAAGGACGATTTGGCTAAAAATGCCTTTTATGAGCGCCTAGAGTGTACTTACGAACGCTGCCCTCGGTACGACGTGAAAATCGTGACGATTTTAATGCCAGGATGGTAAAAGAAGGTATCTTTGGTACGACTGTTGGACGATTCAGCCTTCACAATGAAACATCCCCGAATGGGTTGAGGCTGATCGACTTCGCCGGACTCCGAAATATGGTTGTATGTAGTACTAGATTCCAGCAAAAAAAAATCCAGCTACTTGGCTGTCTCCTGATCGAAAAACACAAACCCAAATCGATCATGGTGTGATAGACGGAAAACATGTCTCTAGTGTTCTTGACGTGCGTACACTTCGAGGACCCAACATCGACTCGAACAATTATCTTGTTGCAGCGAAGATACGCATGCGCCTCTGTGTATCGAAGAACGCCCGTCAACAAGCACAAGTAATTTCGACGTTGAAAAGCTGCAATCACAACAGACTGCCGAACGATTTTCTACTCGACCTGCACTCCTGCTCTCTGAGAGCACTGGGTACAAGGGACCTGTGGGACGGCATCGCAAATTCCTTACGCACAACTGCAAACGAAACTATTGGATTTCGTTAAGGTCGCAGAAACAGCTGGTACGATGAGGACTGCCGTGTCGCAGTGAAGAGAAAGCGGGCTGCCTACCTCGCAACCGTGCGATCGACCACGGCACGTGCGGGATGGAATAGATACCGAGAGATGAAGATCTTGTTGACTTAGCGCTTTCAACAATGCCTGGCAAACGAACTAATGAAAATCTTATTCAATTAGTTTATTTTGACTACCACAAAGGGAAATCGGCTAAGGAATTAGCGGAAATCTTTTCCATCAAGCTTAGAATGATTTATAATATTATATTAAACGCGCAGAAAAAGAAAACAGGTTGGAGTTAAAACACTCAAAAAATATATTAAAATGATTGCCATAAAGCAGTAAGTCAAAAGATAATCCGAAAAGTCGCAAGTACTCCTCGCAAATAGCTATAAATAAACCATTGTGGTCGGTAGTTGATATTGAGAAGCGGCTAAACTTTTATATTACCAATGTTTACAAGACTGCAGAATACTTTTCTATGCTATGTAAACATGTAGATGTATTATGTAAAATATTGAAATAATGACTAAATCTTTGTAATGTTTGTATACGATACGTATATATCAAAGCTGATTTCCTTCGGCATCAATGCTGTCGCTCATCTGTGTTTGGCTTGTTCTACAAAAATGACGAAAATGAACGAGGAAACGAAGAGAGAATGACGTACACGTATACAAATGTAAACATCACGTTTGTCATTTCGGCCTTAAGAAAGTGATAGGAAAATCGTTCTACGAGCTGACGGAGATGTCGTCATGCATTCCTGACATATGTTGGCTCAAATGATCGGAAGATTTCTTGCAGGGTACAAAGGTTGTTTAATCATAAAATTCTAAATACTCTACTTCCTGAGATATGACCGTTCAAAGTTGAACAATCTCGAGAAGACTTTTTTGTGTTTGAATATTGCTTTTGTGAGCTAAATGAGGCCGTTTTTTTTTACCTTTTTTGTAATACAATACCATAATGTTAGTGCAAATTATCTCGAAGTTTTTTTTCTAATATATAAGCTTTCAAACTTCTTATTAGGAAATCGCTTTTTCTAGAAAAGTTTCAAATCTTCTTTGTTTCAAAACTTTTTTAGTCATCACAGATGAACTAAATACTTAAGATACATAAGGTACAATATTTAACAGAGCGTATGGTACCAAACTTATATGCAGATTCCGGCATTATATTTTTAGAGCTTACATCTTCAGACCAAAATTTGCCAAATTTAAACATTTTTTAAATATGAAATTGTCCTTTTGAAATAAGAGTTATAAAAAATTAGATATTTTTATCGTTTTTAATTGCAACTCTCACTTCTGGGCATTACAAACGCTCCAATAATCAATTTTTTTCTTTAAAATATAGAGCTTTACGTTGGGAATCAATTTGTCACAATCCCCTTTTGATTATAAGTATATATGTACGTAGTGGAGACGGCGTACATAGCAGGCTAAATAACAATAAATGTTGGCAAAAAACAAAGTCAAGTTGTATATCAGTGGTACGAGTTATATTTCTAGTAGTACTACTAGTTGATATCCATATATCTATACTTTCTGAACATATATTTGGAAAACCCAGCAATCAAAAAAATTAACAAAAGTGTTTCGCATAAAAATTATCAGGATTATTTTTTTCAAGTTATCCGAATGTGCTCCTAACATACCAAATAAAGTATAGGTTTTTGCTCCTTTTATTTCTGGTGGTTTAGCTTTCTATAAAAAAAATAGCATTTATTTGGAAGTTTTTAAAAATGTGCGTACAGCTTGTCAAGATATATGTATAGCGTTTTGTAATTTTCGAAAATTTACCCTTTGGCACTCCCTTCATATCTACGAAAATAAGTTTTCCCTAAAAAAATATATCATTAAAATCAGGAAGACAGAGCAGACCACGCCCACTGTTTTATTTTGTTCGACTTCAAAGGTCTGTATGATACATAATGTAGTCAGTATGCCAGTAGAGTGAAATAAAGGCCCGAACATTTACATACCTAACAACATGAAGCTTTATGGCTCATTTTAGTGTTACACTAATCATCAACATTCTTAAAACAAAATTAATTTTTCAAGCCTATTAAACGAGTGCTGCTGCATTCCATGAAAGAATTATAATGACATCCAAAAGTATTCATATTTCATTGGAAAATATTAACTACCGCCGTCGCTCTCCTTTAACTGTTTTTCGTTTTTCTTTTTTTTCTTCGCGCAATTGTTTTTGCCGCTCTCGATCCTCTTTATCTTTCTGTTTCTTTGCAGCACTTCCTAAACGTGCCTGCTCCCGTTTTTCTTTTTGCAGTGCCAGCACATCTTGTGCATTCGTATTACGTTCAATTCCAGTTAATGATGTGGCAGCAATCGACCCGTCGGGCTCCTCTTCTGAGTCATATGCATCCTCATCTTCAATCTCTGTCTGTGAATGGTAATTAATGAGAAATACGTGAAATTAAATATTTGATTCATACCTGGGAATATTGTGCCAATATTTGTTCACGAATTCGCTTTTCTTCTTCGGTATATTCGCGCTCTTTCACAGTCGTTCGCAACTTTTGTGCCTCTAGTAATTTGGCTAACTGCTCATTTACATCGATGTGCACCAGCTTTTTATCTTCTTCTTTAGGATGAGCTTCTTCCCATTTTTCGAGTATGAGGGTTATGACTGAATCAAGATCATCGGTCTATGATGGTTAGAGAAATGTAAGGGAAATTTAATGTGAGCATTTTTACAAAACTAATTTCATTTTTTATTATTTCCACATATGTACAATGATTTCACTTAGTATATCATTGAGCCCTTCCCGCTTTTCATCTGTTGTCTCGTCAGTATCAAGAATTCCCATTATGTATGAGCCGAAGATGTCTGAATCGGTGTTAAGCTCCTTCAACTTTTCTTGCAGCCATAATTTAAATTCGATGGGATGAGTACTTTTCTGCATTTTTTCTTTGCAGTTATTTCAGTTCAAAAGTAAGGATAATCACTATATTTTCTGATATTTCCTAAATTGTTAATTATCAATTGACTAAATTTGGTATTTTGGTTTTCTACACAAATGTTTGCCAGTGCTGCTTTAACTTATGAAATGAAGAATTTTCCGATTAATCGAGTAATCGTCTACCAGCTAACTAACACGCCTCACTTCCGTGAGTTCCTTCTGTATGAAAAAAAAACTGTGAAAATGTGTGCCCGTAGCAAAAGACGGGTTCGACACAGACGGAAAGGGATGTTAAATGAATTGGTCTTAAGGCGCATGCAAAGAGGAGATCGTGTCGTGCCTGGACTAGTTGCAAGTAGGACATATATTGACATACAACTCTCACAACAGCTGGTTCTACGTACCGGAATTGACTCGAATTTTATTCGGCCAAGGGCTGTCACCCTTACAGCGATTACACGATATTATTCTTTATAACGATTTTCGCTAAATATCCTTTGTGATTTCCCCAATCTTTCGATTTCGATCATTGGATTATTAAATAAACGTCATAAAATTTGTTTCACAACTTTCTAATTGTACCGAACTTAATCAAGGTTTATTTATTCACTTTACTACACGTTAAACCTTATTTAACAACTCTAACACTTTATTGATTTTCACATTTGTTGTAACTGACTCACTGCGGTGTTGGCCGTTCTCCTATATACCTCATTTATTGCTCGTACACAGCTCTGGAAATTTCTTACGTGTTCCTGTACAAAATATTCGATACTCGTGTTCGTGTTGTGATTGATTATGTTGATTTTATGTAAAATACTTTATCTGCAATTCTGTAGTCCACTATAATCAAATTATATATGACCAGAGTTAGAGTTTTGTAACAGCTAAAGTAATTTTCGGCCAAGGACATCCAATTCATGAAGTGTCTTGAATTCTTTAACTAATAAAATGACCTACCTCATACTAAGCCGCCTCTAAATGGCTGATGATTTTTACAAGGAGCCTTAATATCAAGCCAATATTGCTCTCGAAGAGATAATCTGCCGAGGGGTGATGGCTACGATGGCTAGTACGCACTACTAATCACACGGGTATCGGATGGGAATTAAATTAATAAGGTATTTTTGTCAGTCCCGTTGCGTACCGGTGGTGGTACTTTTTCTCGATACTTAAAATGAAATTCCATTTCCATTCAAAATTCAAAATTCCATTTCCAATTTATTGCAATAGCCATCAGAATATATAATACATTCAACTTTCGGGACAAACAAGGTGTTTCGCAATATTAATTAAGAGAACTAACAAAGTAATAACAATGGCGTAGAAAAGCCATTTTCGCAATGACCGTTTTACTTTATCTCAAACCGGAGGATAGCCAACCACCAGATAAGCTGATGTGACAAGTTCGTTATAATCAAGTTTTGTATATCTGACTTCTGGTTAGTTTGATCATTGTGAATTTTTTTGAGTAAGTCACAAAACATCAAAACTGCTTGACAACAGCTGCAATCATCGGAGAACACATTGAAATAAACGAGATTAGTAACGGAATTCTGACATTTATTTATTTCAGGATAAAACTTGCTCTTTACAAAACTTTTTGGAAATGCCTTAACAATACTTTTGTAATTTTTTATAACCTAATTTCCTGATATTCTCCAATATTACGGGAAGGTATTTAACGTGTGAAAAGAGAATTATGTGTACTAATGGTTTCGCCTGAAATTAGTGTGAGCAAAATGGAAAACCAGGGCGAATGTATAGCGATGGTTAATTCGCCTGGCTAACAATGACAGTACCAAGCGTTGCCGTTGTAAGTTATTTGCGTGAGTGGCATGTTGAAGATTTAAATAACGTTAATAATACAAATAAATGTTGTATTCAATCTAAGTTTATATTATCTGTATATAATACTAAGCTCAGATCTGCTGCCTATTTAAATCTGGATGATTGTTTTTCAGAGAATGGTATAATGACAAAGCTCCTTTGGTTTTATAGTAAAATGTGGCATCTTTAAACTTGTAAAGATGTGTGCTCTATCACACAATTTTTGCTTTTTATTTTCTTTAAAAAGTCTTATCAGAATAAAAGACCTTTAGAAACAAAATAATGATTTTAAAGAAACAAAAAGGAAAGTGAAGATATTTGTGGATTTGATAATACATTTCAAAGTTGTAGTAGTGATTGATAGAATGGAAATATAACAATAAAAAGTTGCTTGTGACCAATTAGAAAAATGTATAGCTTAGCTGAAAATTGTACGCAGGTATGTATACATGTATGAATGCACAGAAATAAACTGCTATGGTTTTCGTGTTAAGGTGAATATAAACTCATTTAATAAATAAGAATGTAATTCAATTGTCCTACCCTACCACGCAACGCACGAATACAAAAGGAAAAATAAACCGAAATAATATGGTTGTTGCTTCTTATACATATTTCCCTCAGATCTATTCTGTCCCGAAATTTTTTGATTGGCGTACAAAATGCACACAAAATCGAATTATTCGGGGCTAAGTCCCGTTTGCAATCAATAAAGTTGATCTGCAAGGTAAAAGTTTCCACACAGCTGGGTATATAAACCAGAATGACATGAATCTTTATCCGACCCAGGATTACCACCGCCGCAACGTTACTCGAAATATCAGGCAAATTTGTTTTTTGGTTTTTCAGATTGTAACAAATCAAAGCAATAAAGACAATAGGCATAAGTCGTGCATATGTCATAAGTGGAGAAGTTTATAATCTCTGAATTTATATTTTCAGTCCATAGTCTCTTATTATTTATATAGTATGTCTATCTCAATCCTCGTTTCGAAAAATTCGGATAAGGCGAGGGATCTATGTATATTGATTGTCTGCGCAAAAAATGGGTAAAGATAAATATTTTAAATATTTGGACGATTGTGGGTATATCAGTACGGTTTCCTAGCTAAGAATTTATATACAATATAGAAGAGCCTTCCAACAAAAGTTGGTTCAGACTGTAGTGTGTTCAAATTGTGACAGTAGCTTTTTTTAGTTCCTTATCAAAGTATTTAAATAGCTCCTCGTAGTCTAAGGTAGGCATGGTCCATAATATTCGTTTCCAGATTTATTACACTATCTTCTTGCGTCTTCTTTATTTATGCAAATATCTTTGAGCACTAAATGCCGGCAATTTTTGTTAGACTAGAGCAGTAAATGCTATTATCAGTTGTTTTTATCATTCAACACGTCGCATTTATGTACATATATAAATTCGTATATATGTACATATGCATACATATATACATGCACATAAGTAAATATTTACATACAAACATATACATATATTGTAAATCATACGCACGCGCCTATTTTATGAACAGAATGAAAATTTGACTGCTCTTAGTTAAATTTACTCTTAATTTTTTAATCCATCATTTTACTTCATTCATTCTCACTTGTTCACTCATCCGCTTTTACTTAATACTTTTGTTTAAGCAAAATATGTACGTCATGCGGCGATGCATATAGTACTTACATAAATATAGTATATGTATGTTCATAAGTCCCATTGAAATATGCTCTCGGCAACCATTTTTAGTTCGAGTTTGTATTTCGTTGGACACTGTTGGTAGGTGTTATATTGTGACGCGAACTACGCGACTTTCTTATACCTCATCTCTCACAAGAAAATCCGAAAAGAATAATATGGAAAAGAAAAAAAAATAAAAGTAAAAAAAAAAGTTTTATATAATTTTGTAAAAATATACAACGAAAATATTTAAGTTATCTTCTTGAATAGTGTTAATTAATTAATGATTACAGTTTGGTTAAGAAGTTTGTGCTACATAAAATGAGCAAAGTGTTACAAAATAACTGTGTTGAAAAACAAATCGGCATAAAGGGAAGGTTATAGATGAAATTTACTATTGCCACGAAGAAGAAGAAATGGGATCTAAAAGAGAAAATGCAAACCATAAAGTAAAATCAGCTAATGGATACTTAAAAAGTGTATGTGTGGTAATTGAAAGCACAGTAAATAAAAAAAAAATAAAAAATGGTGAAATCTCAACGTGAAATTGTCCCGAGAAAAAAATAAATAAAATGATACTGCTCGGAAAAAGCTAGTATGCTAAGATTCAAAGAAAATTATGCTATTTTTTTATTTTAATTGGTAATTAATATTAAAGTAAACGTACAAATTTTCGGATTTCACTTTAGGTTTTTCTTCATGAGAGAAAAAATATATAATTTTTATAGCTAAAAGCTTTTTTTTGCTCTCGTACTCTCCACACTTTATTTCATCGCACTTTGTGGGCGATACGGGTTTTTTTGTCCCTGTATTTTTTTTGTGTTCGGTCGTCTGTCATATGAAGCTATGCTCTTTTTATGTGAGTTGCCACCTTGCAAACAACCCACACCCCGATTTGTGGAGTATGTTTTTATGAATGTTTAAAACTCTTAAAAGCGCTCAGGAATTTTTACCTTACATGTGAAGAACTTGGAGAGTGTTTTATGACATCTGGCGGAACGTAATGGCATACGGAACGTGAAACTAAATAAATATTGTGTTGTTGTTGACAGTGAAACAATATGAACAAAAGTTATGTTTTTGCACATTTCCATACATGTGTATGTATATAAAGTGTATATTTAAAATTTTCGGAATTTATTTTGGACCTAACTTACTTATTAAATACATACATATGTGTGTATTTAAAAGCATTGTTTTTGTCAGCTGTCTTTATGTGATATTTACCCATATGTATGTACATGAATTTATACTCAAACAAATACGTGTAAAGTGTATGAATGTATATATAGATATAAATATGTACACACATCGTATACGTCATCTATTCATTTATTTATGGATGTAAGTAGGTATCTATAGTACGTATGACTACCAATGATGAAGGCTGACTGATTATACAAATACAATTGCAAGATATTTTTGCCAGTTTTGCAGACATTCTATAATGAGAAATATCTGACGAACATATTTTGGAGTTTTTATATTGACATGCGCATATAAAAGCGAGTTGAAGTGTCATCTGAATTTCTATTTTTCACAATTTGCCTGTTTTACCTCTGAAAATTAACTCATATTCGCTCCACCAATGTACATATGTATGTAGCTAATTAGCCAAAGATATGTATATATGTGTGAATATTTATATGTATGTATATGAATTTACGCAGGTATTTTTATCTGTATATAATTTTTGCTCGGTCAGTAGTTACGCATTTGAAAATGTAATACCACTTTGTACATGTATGTGCATAAACATACACTTCTAAACATACTTATTCGTACATATGTATGTACACATGCACTATATCGTATATTGTTAAATCATTTAATTTTTTGAACAAATCGCATTTTTTGTATAATGCTTTTGTAGTAGTTTACACGACTTTCCATTTATATTGCTTCCGTTTTTCGTTTTTAAACTCGGTTATTTATTCGTTTTATCGTAATACTCGGGGTTTTTCGCTCTGTGCATACGTTATTCGTACCTATCTTCATACATACGAGTACACTTGAATTATGACAATTTTCTACGTGCATTATTGACTCAGATATGTCAAACAAAGCGAATATGCGGAAGAGTAGTAGAGTAGTTAGTAGTGGCGTGTTTATTGATATGTGTATGTGCTCCAAATCTTTCTAAACGAACAACCAAAATTATAAAAACAACATTCTAATTGCGATCGTTCTATAACAGGACCGGAAACCTTTTCGAGTATATTTCTGGCATGGAGGACGAAGAGAAGGGCTAATTATATAATGCGAAACTTGTGAGATTTACTGATTCTACAGCTGAACGACAGTTTAGACAGTATGCAAAATCTATATTCGTATACTATTAGTTTCATTATTCTAACACCGCTCATTCTTTTATGGCAACCATGTTGAAGTTTGTGAGTGAAATTCGGGGAAGCTTTTACTTTAATGGACCACATTTGGTGAAAAATGATTAATGGGTAGTGGTAGAATACAATTCTTACACTTTGTACAGTAGTGAATTTTTATTTATATGACGTATGGCAACACCCAGTTATTGCCATTAACGGACATTTCTCTTGCAAATCGTTTCGAAATAATATACAAAAATAAATTATTATTTTACTGCTAACCAAATAAAATAAAAATACAACAATCTTTGTAATCACATGTGGACAGATTAAAGTTACTATTTTGTATCATGTATGTTAAATAATTGCACGTGCTAAGTAAAAATTTGTGATGAAAGTGTAAATGTTTTAACAACAAATTATATATTATTTATTTATTTATTTTTATTTTTTGTGTAAAATATAAGAAATAAATATTCATTATATCAACAGCAACAACTCCTGCAAATTTCATTAGGATGGGTCAATTAGTTTAGGTGAAGCAAGCATTAGTCCCATAAAGGAAAGCACAGCCAAACAATTAAATTAGTAATTTTACACTTTATATATACACTTTAAACGTATCTTGAATTGTCTACAATAGTTTTGAGAAGAGGCCTTTCTTGCTTTTTTAATGCTCACCGCCACTGGTACTCGATTGTCATATCGGCGAAATTAACAGGATTGTTATAATTATCTTTTTGGAGAGATTTTCACAACTCATCATTACTGGGTGTTTTCGTGCCAAAAACGGGTTATCCGAACCGCTGTGATTTACTTAGTTATGCTCTCCGGCAATCGGTATGTATGATTGTCTTTTGAGCTATATGTTTTTGTATGAGTGGCATGAACACCTCTGCCGATCGCACGTTGTCCGGGGGCACCTCCAATTTCAAAATCCTCCGAGCCGTGCTCGATAATTCCCAAAAATGGAAGAGTTTCGATTTCATAACAAAAAAAAAAAAAAATAATAATACTAATTAAAAAACAATGTTAAATCCGGGTCTTTTTACTGAGGTCAAATACCTAAGGATAATCCTAGTTAACAACTTGCCTGGAACCAGAACACCGTAGAAAGCCGTAAGAAGGGATTGACCGATCAGAGATGGGGCACTAAGACCTGATATTGTTTTTGGGCTGTCACCCTTTCGGCGACCAACCCTGGTGCAACGGATTATTTCTGCTGCATATACCACTAACGACTCCACCATTCCTACATATCTTTTAGATGCAGCCAGTGCAATGGTTGTGGCCATCTAAAGGTTTGCTCAGGCTTTAAGGTCCACACGGAATGGTCCACGCATTACGTGGCCTCATGCTTCTTAGCGCTCAAATGCAACCCCAGACTCTACGACTTGCCTTCAACATCCTTACCCAGACCTCTACGGTCGCACGCAGCTCCCCACAGCATGACTCTAATGCTACCTACCCACATCCAGTACTTCATCCTCCCGTGCGAGAGCTACACAGAAGCTCGTAGCCCACCGCACAGTCTATTTCAAGTGTCACGCCACAGTACGTTGAAAAGTGACATCAGTCAGATGCAACTTCTGGCTCTGGCTGCTGGCACATTCGGACGTGCTCTGGCCTGCGCACCACTCGTGGGTGTAGCGAATCGTACGTTTAAAATGCCGTAGGAGCCTGATCTCGCCTACATCTGCAACACCGCCGCCAACCAACACCAATCCAGCGGGTATTACAGCATCAACACATAAGGCCTACGCATCACTCCCATATCTCCTGAATTACAAACGTTTCCTCAAACACGATTGCTCCAATTTAACAGAGATCTTAATCAGAAGATTTGGCTACAAGTCAACACACATAAACGGAAAAAGTAAGAGGGGCACTTTAGGTCCACTGGTGCACCCTTCGGTCGGTAAAATAAATCGACAAGTAGCTCGCCGTCTGCGCAAGCTGCCGAAGAGCGAGGTATCGAGAAGGCGAGAGCCTCCAAATACATCGGCCTGACGGAATAACCAATAAAACATCTAACCCCAGTGAGAACAGATTATCTTGCCAAGGTTCTCAAATTGTCTTTCATCACTTTAAAAATATCTGATATATGCAGTCTTATAGATTGCTCCCGTTCTTTACACTCCATTTGAGCCCAGCAGCATACCAGTATGGCTTCTTTAAAGTGCATTGTACCTCAGCATGAATGGCTTTTGAAGACCCTGCGCGCGAGCCGTCCTAGCAGCACTGGATCTGTCAATCAGTCATTGCTAATATCTGACATGCTTGAAATACTTCACTCCCCATAAGACTGCAATAGCCATAAAATTACCAAGCTGCAACAAAATACTCAACACGCTAACCGATAGCTCCTGGGGAAAACAAAAAGAAACTTTGCTGGCAACATCTAAAGCAATTATTTGGCCGGTCTTTAACTGCGTTGCCGCGATTTGTATGCGGGGACTAGCCACACGTAGGTGAAGAAGCTACAAGCTTGCCAAAACACCGACCTTAGGACCGTCTCAGATAGCCTCCTGATGTCACCGGCGAATCACTTGCACGGCGAAGCATTGAAGACGAAAAGCTTGAGTTGGCTTGACCTGGCCACAATTTAGATCTTGATATTTCTACCTATGCAGACTTGACCCCGACAAACCCAACGTATGACCTGCATGCAGTGAAACGTATGTCCTGCATGCAGTGAAACCCTTCACTACACTAACAACTTCTTTGAATGCCTCTTAAAGCCAACTCATCTAACTCTCCTTTCTCTCTGGTCCTAAACCTAGCGACAATTTGAAATACCAAGTACGGAGAGGCCCTTCTCTACCTAGTCCTTCCAACGGAGTGAAAGTCTTCCTCTGCTTGTTACTCTACCGGCGGGTACTGCATCGAAAACTTTCAAAGCTGAAGTATTCTTTCTTCCCCATCCAAATCGTGCAGACTGCCGATGCGCTTATTTTCCGTTATATAACCCCAACAAAACCGTGAGTCGACAGAGTTTTGTGCTCACAAAAGATTTTTTTTTGCCTATTATTAGAAAACTGGTTTTCTACGAAAATTTGTTTGATTTTCTTCTTTTTGCATAACAGGTGCGTATTACTGTCAGTATCATTCACAGTTACATGCATTTCCTTTTCTCTTGCTTGACTGAGCACCTTACATGCTGACTGTGAGTAAGAGAGAATTCGCGAATAGCTCCACACATGTACATATACATATTTATAAGCTGTCAATATTAACGCTAATCGGAAACAACAGTACAAATCCAAAACTGCCGGCGAAAAAGTTCGAAATCTGCCTAGGAGTATTGATCTTTTGGCCTGACCGATTAGTTTGGTATCAACTATATATACAGACATTAACTTAAATACAAGTATATATAAGTTACCTTTGACAAAAAGTCTACAAAAAACTACTAAATAACAAAGGAAACTTGCCTACATTTACATGTTGGCTGGTTTGTTGGTTGAAAGAGGAAGGTTGAGGATCTTAATGCAAGCGGCCACACACAAGCCATAGAGCAGGCTCATTGTGCTCCCCGCATAACCGAATTATACTTTTGCAAATATTTAGCTCTATTTATAAACTGGATTACATTCTTCCAACTATGTGTGCAATCTCAGTAAGGTTGGATCTGGACGCATCGTAAAAGAGGTAACGTCTCAATACGCTGTTGGTCGGATACTCGCAAAAGTTATGGTTCAGCGTTTCGTCATCTTCTGTGCATGCTCTGTGCTCCGCCGATTCCACCTCACCTAGCTTGTGGAGAATATATCTCAGAGGTGTATGCCCCGCCAATACATCCACAAGAATACTAAGTTATTGTTTGCTTGAAGTTAGTAAATGTTTGGTCCGCTACAATGTACAGTGTCCCATAATAATTTGGTGGTACATGCTACGGTTGGAGTGTTCCAGGACCTTATATGTTCTTCCATAGTCCACTGATTTAGGCAACATTTGAATGCGCTGAAAGATCCGTGAATGTCGATGTTTACAACAGTGATCCGTGACCCAAGTGCTATTCACAGTCTTTTATTTGACACTTATCATATTCTTATGCATTTGGTCTGTGCGTTGACACGTAAAAAACTGATAGATCTTAATGCTAAAACGGTTACCCATTCAGCAATTTGTCCAAAGCCCACAATATCTGCTTGGAAACCTGAGTTGTAGTCATTTAATTTGAAGCTACATTGATTATTGGGTTAATCACAGAAGAACCCTGCTCCTGTGCCTGCCTCCCATTTAGACCCAACCGTATGAATATGGATAACTGGACTACTTTCGGTAGGCCCGCCTTCCACCCATTCTTATCGGCTAAGGAAAGAGTAAGTGGCAGAACACACTGCGCCCAATTTTCCAGAACGTTTAGACGGGTAGTTGTTAGCGCTGTTTCATACATAGCTTGTACTTTAATTGGCCTAATGTCAAGAGCCCTAGTGGAGGTAAACTTCAACGCGCATGCTATACCAAGTTGAATCTAATGCGGCGCTTTTTTTAGGTCCGCCCACCATATTAGTGCTTCATATTCCTTTTCTCTTTGCGCATATTGAGTCTTTGCGCATAGTGAGGTCGTAATCCTTATTTTGCCACAACAACTCTTTCACAGTTATTCTGAATTTGGCCCTAAATTCAACATAATCCCTCTAGCTATTTTTTTTTAATGATTACACCGAGCTACTTAACAGAATGGGGGAATTCAAATGTTACCCTTTGATTAACCTTCGTCTTTCTAGTAAAGAGGGAGAGCTCATATTTATGGACGCCCTTGGAAAATGAAAAAGATACCCATTTTATATCTAATACAAACCTCCGTAGAATAGGTAAATATACCTTTTTTATGTCCTATGTCATGTCATACTTAAATAATTGCCAAATAATAGTTCATTTATGTTGCGTTTGTGTTTTACTCATAAAATGATTATATTTTGTTTCGAAATGCTCAACGAACGACGATATGTGTGCGGGCTAGCATTGACCTGGTGGAATATGAATTTAAGGTTGACCAATTCTGACCACTTCTCGTTGATGGATGTAATCAATTTGTCCAGTTGTTCACAGTAGACATCCGAATTAATCGTTTGGTTCAAACCAAACCCTACCCACCAAACTGATAGCATAATCTTCTTTTAGTGAATATCAGCCTTAGAACTGGTGATCGTTTTCGATTGATGTTATTTTAAACATCAAAAATATCAATTTTTCTTACTAGGCCCAGACGTCGTATAAAATTATGAACGGTTCATTTTGGTGTACTTAACTTCACTAAAATCACACGCTCAGTTACATGACGATCCGATTCGATTAAAGCCTTATTATTGTCATCATTAACTTCACTTGGCCGACCTGAACGTGGCTTATCTTTCAGTGAAAACCCAACTTCGACAGTATGTTTCTTTTAAGGCCTTATCACCATACAAATTATGCTACTCTTTAGCAAATTTTTACCTTTAAGGCAATAATAAAGTAAAATATGTTCTTTTGTGACCTCCATATTAAACTTGTTGCTAAACAAACGAATATAAACTAAATTACGCGTATTTTTTTTTCTAAATCAAGCTAAACTTATAACTGTAAAAAGAAAAAAATACAATTAAATAGCCACAAACAGCTCCAAAAAATTGTCTACGTCGGCTTTATGTAAAATCGCCGATTTCTTTTGGGGCAACCCAATATTTTAACGTTTAACATTATCTGTTAACGATTCAACTTTACCTCTTAACGATTTAACATAGCCTGTTAATAATTTAACATTACCTGTTAATGATTTAACATTAACGAAAGCTTTTCGTTTCGGTTAAAAACGAAATAGAATTTATTTAAATAATTGCTTTAACGATAACATTTCCAAATGTTTTAAACCGCAGCGATTGATTTTTTTTTTATTAATGTGAAATTTGTTTATTATGAAAGGAGGAAGTAAGACACATGTAAGTAAATATGTTAATGTAACATACATATGTAGCTCATAAAAATATGCCTGAGTAAAGCCAGAATTGAAATTATTAGCGAGTTCCCCAGTTGTGAATAAAACTAAAAAAATTTTTTTTTTCTCGAAAATTGGCCAGTTCAGTAGTCTCTCTCTCATGGATAAAAGGTATTGAGAGTATTCCATGTAAGGCAATAGATATATATAGGTGGGTCAAAAAGAAAATGCTGAAATGAAAATCTAATTTAAATTTTAGTTTTCTATCAAAGTTTTAATTTTTTAATATTCACGACAAAAGTTGTACATTCATACATATGCGTATAAAGCCCATATAATAACGTGCTCTTAATAACAACATAAAATCAAATCAATGAATTTTTATATATGAAAAAGGTGAAACTACACATTTTAATGAAAAGCATCGGTTTTTTACAAAAATATTAACTACTTGTAAATATGTATTTCTAAATAAAATATAATTTGTTAACAAAAAAGCTCTCACGTGTGGCATAAAATTTCCTTTATACGAATAATATAGGGAACCTACATATGTGCTCAAATAAAACAAAAATTATGAAATTACTTTACACATTTATATTTAATTGTTATTAGTGCGAACAGACAAACAAAAATATTGATTAATGCAAAATCATTGAAATACGAGCAATTAATAATCATACATACGTAGGTGGTACAAATTGTACAAAATAGAGGTACGTAAAATATATACATATTTCTTTTATTACTGATTTGAAACATTAAATTTAAGATTTTTTAAATTTCTACGATATATATATATATTATATAATAAAAAAGCATATAAAAATATTCTCTTATTTATTCTTCTTCATTGGCGTGGGCACCGCTTACGCAATTATGGCCGAATCAACCAAAGCGCGCCATTCTTCCCTTCTTTTCCCTATTTGGTGTCAATTGAATTGAAAATAGGCAGCTCTCCAAATTTTTCCAAAGGAGAGGAGGTCTATCCCTTCCTCTGTTTCTATCGGAGTGCTTTTATCCATTCGGACGACATTACTAAGCCAGCGTAGCCGCTCTCTCTTCCTCCGCTGAACAATATCAATGTCACTGTGCCACTCGTACACCTTATAGTTCCATCGCCTGCGGCATTCGCCGTTGCCAATGTGCAAAAGACCGTAAGTCGTTCGTAAAACGTTTCTTTCGACTACGTCCAGTCTTATACACCATTGACGGGAATGAACGGTGACCTGTAGAGTTTGGTTTTGGTACGTCGACAGAAGACTTTACTTATCAATTGCCTCCTCACTCCAAAGTAACACTTGTTGGCAAGAGTGATTCTGTCGAACGGTTCGGAGACCGTGACTGGGCTTTTGGTACTGTCTAGCGCTAGTTTGCATATCTATAAAAGTTTTGCGGGGATACTTAATCCAGATTTAGCTAAGTAGAGGCAGCTCCTTACAGTGCTTTGGAAGACAGATTTTAAAGTCAATTTTATGTGCATAGATTATTTTCTTATCGGCTTTCCGAGATTTGGCGCATGCTAAATACTTAGTCGTAAGGTTTATGAAATTCGGTTGACATAAGAAGTCAAGCCGGCCGATCATCAACCACGTAGTGTTTTTGCTGATTGAGTCGTTGAAATTCATGAAAATAATTTTTGATTAAAGATGACCATTTCCACCTCTATGGCTACGTCAATAAACAAAATTGTCGCATCCAGGGCTCGGAAAACCCGTGATTAATTGTTGAAAAGCCTCTCAATTCTCAACGTTTAACAGTTTAGTGCGGTTTATGATCCGGCATGGTCATAGGGCCTACATTTTCTAAAATAAAGCTGGAGCAACAGTTACGATGAATAGATTGTGCTCTCGAGAGATGATTAACGATAACGAATAGGTGCTCGCAATTGGCCGCCGAGATCTTGTAATTTAATACCTTCCGACTCCACGTGAAAGATAAGGTCTATATCAACAGACCAACGTCGAGTCGTTACCTCAAAGACGGAATTCGTGAATTCATTGAAGGCCTACAGCAGGTGATGGCGAAAAGGCTACGTGTAGCCATGGCGGCCATTTGGCTGATATTGTTTTCAACTAGTAATGACACTGAAATAAATTTATCTCAAAATATGCACATCTAATGAAAACGACGTGAAATGACAGTACCTTTGAAATGAATATAGCCGCAGTTGAGCACGACGCTCTCAAGACAAAAGCATCTCCTTATACAATATATAATAAATTGTCGCTATGTAACCGCTGAAGCGATTTTCGGAGGAGCCCTTTTTACGTATCAGAAATACACTCGGAGGGGTGGACGTTCCCTGCCGAGGGACAACCGCACTCCACTCCGGTACCGACGGACCCTAATGCGGTCAGCATCTCCTTATGTGTTTTCAAATAATGGCAAATTACTCAATGAGATAACTGAAAATATTTCTTTCCTAATTATTGTTAAAGAAATCAGTTTGTGCTGCAGAAGGCTTCTTTAATTGATTCAAACAGTGCATAATTTGTTATACAAATTGAGATTTATCAGACTAATGTAAGACCTCTTTAGCATTTTATTTACAATGCTCTCAAACATGCATTTTCCCAATTAAATTAAACAGTTTAAACCAATCTCTAACTTTTAAGCAAATCTTTTTATAACTTATATATATAAATGTATATTTTTTCTTTGCAGTTACAAATAAATATATGTGCATTTAACACATAAAAAAAGGCTACAAAAAAAAAAAATAAACTCGGTAAACTTATATATTGCTTATACAGAACATTTTTTTCGGTTCGACTGTAATCTCTACATTACAAGATATTGATTATTTGAAAAGGGTTATAATCATAATCTTGTGGGAAAAGCAGAGGAGGGGACATCTAGGTTGCAGCTAACAGATGAGCCCCACATGTCAATTGCTGCCGCCGAAAATGCAGGGTGAGTTCTATTTGTTGGTAATATAAATAATAAATACATATGGCTTTATATATAATCTATATCTGGAAAACTAAGTATGTACACAGTGGATTCTTTCAAATTCGAAATTAATTTATTTTCCCTGATTCAACGAATAGATATTCCTTAATAATATCTTGACGATAGGTGCTGAAACCCTATTTCAGCCGTGCCACTTGGTCAGCGCGTTGTTTTTCAGTTTTGTAAGCAGCCGAAAAGGTACTACTTTCGTGATAATTATTTAATTCATTCTTCCTTTAAAGCTGGAGTGATTTTGTCCATTCGGACGACATGACCTAGGCAGCGTAGCCGTTGTCTCTTTATTCCCTGGCCTATGTTAATATCATCATTTAGCTCGTACAGCTCATCGTCCCATCGTCGGCGGTGTTTGCCGTTGCCAATGCGCAAAGGACCCTAAATCGTTCGCAAAATAATTTCGATATCATCGGCGTACGCAGCTGTACACTCTTATAGAAGATTATACCTTCACTATTCAGCTACTACAGTTCGTATTATATTATCCAGCAATAAATTAAAGAAGTCACACGATAAGGAATGACTCTGTTTGAAACTTCGTTTGGTATCGAACTGCTCGGAGAGGTTATTCACGATTTTGACGGAGCTTTTAGTGTTGCTAAAGGTCAGTTTACACAGCCGTATAAGCTTTACTCGGATATTAAGTTCAGACTTAGCGGATTGTGGAATCGCACACTTAGGTTCCAATCGTCGGATATGCTTTCATTCGACCATATTTGAATAGCTCGGCCGGTAATCCACCGGTCCCCGCCGCTTTGTTATTCTTTAGTCTGGCGATTGCTATTCGAATAGGCGGAAAACGCAACAACTTTTCCATCGTATTAAATTTGAAGTTCGGGTTCACCACCTCCGGATGTTTCATCTTGACTGCCATTCAGCAGGTCGGAAAAGTGTCCCTCCGTAAATTCACTAGGGAGGTGAGGATCCTACAATAGTTTTTCAATATGTTAAATCTGAAAAATCAGTTTTAGAGACTTCAAAAAAGCATTTTTTTTCTTAAATCCATCCTAAAACTATCGTTTCTGATTTCAATGGCCAGTCTTATAAAACGGTGCCGGTGAAAGCAAAAAGAATATATGTCCGAATCAAAGTAATCGAGCTTCAGTATTAGGTTATCTTCTATTTCAACTAAAAAAGATAGACCAGAGTATTATTTGGACTATTTTCTTTTTGCAACTTGAAGTTAATTTTCGTTTTTTAAAATTCGGAAAACTATGTAGTTGCATTATTTTTTCCTTTTTTACGCTAAATTTATCTCTTCGTTTTCCAGTTTCATAAATACTATTACTCACTCATTTACCAGGTGCTCACTTGTCTATTTATTCTCTTTATTTCCAAGCTTTCAACTTTATTTTGCTTGTCACTCTTATTTTCCATTATTTACTTCTCGTTTGCCATTTCTCACTTCTCTTTTAACTGTTATTTTCCAAGCTATTCCAAGCTATTAGCGTGGCGTTTAAATTTTTGTAAATTTTTAAATTATTTTCAAGTTTTATTTTGTTGTAACTTCGTTGATTTTAATAGTTTCTCACTCATTTATTTATTATTTCATATTCTGATCATTTAACCCTTTATAAGTGCACGTGTTTATTTTAAACTTTTAAATACAATATTTACATTATTATGCTGTCAATCCCGTCTCCTTCTACTTTAACTGTAAATATCATGTCTTTAATTGTTGAAATAAATAGCACAACCTGGAAAAAGAAGGAAAATTGTATTGAGTACATACATTTTAATCTAGCATCACATCTGCGACTCACGCCCTCAACGAGTTTTTTTACACTTAACTTCAGGTATGGCATACCAATCTTCCATAGGTTTCCAATATGAAAACTCTAGGCTGGTCAATTTCAAAACTCGAACTCTACAACTCCCTTTTTTAACCAATTTGTATGAGTGTTTTCGGACATTGTCCTACTACATTTTTATTTAATTGACATGCTTTCGAAGGCATATCGTACCATATTGTTTTTTTTAAATGTCCAAATACAGGAACTGGTTCATTTAACCGTTGATTCGTACGAGCGGACATATGACATACCAAGAAAATACACCACATTCTAGAATATTTCCGTTCGAATGTTCGAATGATTTCTGAATGCATATGGAATTATATTCTTAGCGTTTGGGATGACGTCAAATGGTTGTCCCGGTTACGCTTACAAGATCGTATCCTTTTTATGAAATTTTACCATCACCAAAACTCAAAGTGGCTGCTATATGCCCTCCATAGCCTTACGAATTCCATCCTTGAGGTCTTGAATCTTGAGGGATGCATTTATTCGAATAAGCCCCTTTGGATACCGCTGTGAGACTCCTGTTTTCACTTTCTTAAATGATCGAACCATTTCGTGTGCCTTTTAAAGGCAACAAGATTTCCGATATCCGTTGAGGCTAGCTCAGCGAGACAGTCGATGAAGTGTTTTCTCAGGAATTTGTGTTGCCTAGATGTCAGGACTGCGCAGTGGCAGAGGTAGTGCTCGATAGACTCTTCTTCTCCCTACAGCTGTGATCTAGAATGATATAATGTTTGATAAATGATGATGATAAATATTTGATTTTTTTTGCCATATTGGGTCTGCTTCCCTGACAAAGTTCAGCTTAAGCATATATTTTGCCGTGGACAAAGGTATACCAGCATCGTGTGCATGTTTTATTGTGGGTAGAAGGATTCCTTCTGTCGCCTGTGAAGCGTGTATCGTTTCATTTTTTACTACAGGTTAAAAAGTAGCAGCCAGCGGAATAGCAGGCTATTCAAAAAATACCTTTTATTAGAAAACCCTTTAGCTAAGCCCTTTTCATGATGGGTTCTAGCGAAAGTCAATCGTTTCGCTTCGCTTGGTTCTCTTGGGCAGCAGTATTTACGACTCTTTCCCGAGAAAAATTCAAAATTTTACCATATATTGTCGCTTTCTACCTTTCTCTATGCTATTGTATATATATAAAAGTATACAAATATAATACTATTTTATATTTTCGTTTTCCGTTCTCCTCCAAGGTTTTCAAAACTTAGCAGTCTTAGGGCCTGCGGAAAGTTTTTTATTTTCTATCCATTAAGTTTCATTCAAATGAAATTTGTCTTTGTCAATATGTACAAGACAAAGTATAATTTAAATTTTTAATAATATATGTATAATATATATAAAAAAGTAATAAAAAAAAAACACTCAAAAACAATCAGACCGTGTCTAGTGCAGCAACAGAATACTATATGTAATGAAACCTTATTCGAAAACAGGTTAAGTGCTTCAAAGCGCAGTAAATGTAGATAAAAAACTGAAATAGCAACGTCGACAATAATCGTTGGCAGTTTTTTCTCGCTAGGCCGAATTGTTGGCCGAGTCTATATAAGACGTACACTTTTATGTACTAATTATTACATGTATTATAACGCACACATTTGTATGCAACGGAAGATTCGGCTTGGTTAATAAAATTTAGCTTATTGCTGACATACGCAGGTGTTACAGTAACAGATTTATCGCTTTAAATGTCAGAATTAAACCGAGTAGTTATTCGTTGACAGAATCATGTGCAAATATCTTCGCAAGAGTGAATTTAATAAAAATGAAAGTCATGAATGAATACGCTACTTGATGTAAAAATGGCCAGGAGCTGTCAGTTTTCCATTGTCGTTCATTCCTAAAATTATCCAACGTGGGCAAATCAAATATTCAAAAGCCTGTGGCATTTCTATAGAACGCGCTAAGGAGATATTTCAGTCCCACAGACCGTTAATAGGAGCCTTCTGCCAAAAACCGCAGTGTGGCTGCAAGTTGGAGCACCTGTCTTCAGTAAGATCCATCATTATTACAAAGGCTTCTTTGTTAAGACATACAAAAATAATTTTGTATCAGAAAATGTAAATGTAAAATGCAAATTGCACTCACATCAACCATGGCGCTCCAGCGGATTGCTCTTATCCCTTAAAATGTTTGCTTTGTTTTCTGGCTGGTTTCTCCAAATCGTTTTTTCATCAAAAAAGCTATCACTGCCGAAGTCATCTTATGTTTAATTAATAATCACAAATGTGTTAAAGCCAGTAAAAAAATTAAATTGAATTGTTGGGTTTTTTGCACGACTGTGTTATGCTTACAGCTGACTCGAATACCGGCTAATCTTCGAAAAAAGCAAAATCAAGTCGGTTTCATAACACAATTTCAAACAAATATTGGTTTCCAGTTCCGATAGTTCCGACATAGAAATCGGTTTCTATAACAGCCCTGATTATTTGATGATTTCAAATTTTTATTTTTTTTTTATGGTAATCCTTCTCGCATTTTCTATCTATTTATTGATTAAAAGATTTCTGGACATGTGCTATCATATGGTCGGTCGTGGGTTCGGGTCCCAGTGAGACAAGCCTATAGTTATAAAAATTTTGTTTGAAAGCGATCGCCCCTCGACAGTAAATGCCTACCCCGCGGAGCCTATCTGACATGAAATATTTAGGAGAAGGCTTCCCTTGAAATCCCATCAGCCGTTCGAGGGCGGCTTCCATTTATTTTAAAATCTCTAAGGTACCTTCCGCTGTACTGGAGCACCTCTCAAAGTACAAATTTTGAAACAGCAGTATCGTCCATCTCGCTTTCTTTGCTTATGATAAGAGGCGCTGCTGATAAGTTCGCGGCATAATGTATTTAATGAAATATGTTATTTATTTTTCAATATGCAAAGACTCAAGTGAAATATACTTTTCCCATCGTGAATACAATGCCTTTATTCCACTGAAAAAAAAATACTCTTTAGATTTCTCTTCAAAATGGTTTTTTACGGCCGCTTCCATTTCACTGTCGACTGAAAATCGACGTTCCTGTTAGTGATTTTTTAAATTTGAAAATGGGAAAGTTATTGGGAGCCCGGACTGAGGGGCTGATGGTCAATCTCTATAAATTCAGTACCTTTTAAGGCATCCCTCTCAACCCGCTGCGTTGTCCTAAAGA